AGAGAAAAAAAAATTATAGCAAACATTAAAGTGCCGAACTACAGTTTACCGTCCCCATCGAATGCCTACGCGATTCTTTTTTTCAACCTATATAAAAGTGTTGATGAACTATTGACAGAAACAAAATCAAAAATGGAAAAGTCGGCTTTTCAGTTATAAGAAACACTAGGTATGCAAAACACACCGTAAGTTGTACCTACTCGAAATCGTTGCATTTTACAAAAATTATGCAAAACATAAAAATGACTTTTTTCCCCGAGAATTCTTAATTTTGAACGTTCATCACGTTGGTGAAGTCTGAACTTGGCTTAAAGTTTAAGTTTCATATTCGAATAAAAAAAATTCGAAAACCACATGTTACTGAATACTGAAATACATCAACTATATATTTTGAGTAATTGCAAAACTTGTCGCTCCCGTAACTTCACTCTGAAAATGTTCCTGGACTTTTGTAAAATATCACATATAGGATAATATGCATCATGTAAACTTGTATAATTTTACACTTGTGTATTATACAGCAATTTTTCAAACTTTTTTTAACCCGTAGTCGAGGTCGTACCAACATTTTTAATGAACCTACCACCACTCCGGTTTTACATAAACGCTCATGAATTATACTCGTTAGATATATAATATAAACGACATAATATAGACTTCGATGTGATTTGAAAACAAGTTTCAAATTAACTTTGAAATTATTTTTTATTTCATATTCTTTTGAAATACTGGCGTCGCTCATAAGTCTTACGTCGATGGAGTTTTATTCTTAAAGGTGCCGTCTTTAAGTTTGTTAGCTCAAAACTCGTGTTTTATTTTTGTATTGTGAGGTGGAGTTGAGGTGAAGACCCTTCAAGCAGCCATCCGGTACTGTAGTTGTAGCTATATACTTCTTTGGGGGGGGGGGGGGTTGCTTGTTCTTGGATGAGTGACCCGCACGCAAAAATGAAAGTAACACTGCACATAATGTACCTATCTTTAATACAATATCAAAATCCATAATTGAGTTTTGAAACAATACATTTAGAGAACTAAACATTTTAAGCTACACTAAAAAAAAATTGCATACATTTTATTTTTTATTATGTATAACCTTTTCAATATCGAATAAATCGAATCTATATTAATAATATAATAAGTAGGTATAACAAATGCTTTGAGTTTATAGTCAATTAATATACAACTATTGAACTATATAGTTAATTTAAAAAAGTAAACGTAAAATTTTGATCTTGATACTTAATTTAAGTAATATTATTCCTATTATGTATAATATTTTGAACTTTTTTCGAATAAACAATATTACTTGATCAATTCAATTAGAGGTCGCAAGTATCCTTGAGGATACAATTGTATTTAAATTTAAATTCATCGTAAGCACTAAATAATACCCGAATGTATTTGATTAAATACCTAGTTAGGTTATTCAGATAAGTATATTTTATTATTCAGATGAATAATGATTATGTTTTCGAGTTGTACATAAAATTGTATTACACATTTCAAACCTGCGAATCCAATTTTACCATAACCAAGAGAAACCGTAGAGCAGAAGCAGTTTTAACTTAATGTTATTTTTCATTTAAATTTCCACGAATTTGAAAAATGAAAAGCAGAAAAGGCTTACCTTTCGATAAGATTCTCAAAATATATTTAAAAGTGTACACTACGTATATAAAGCAGCAAAGGACTGATCAATAAAACTATTTAATAATATTCAAAATTTGTTTGTTTTTTTTTTTTTATCAAACTCGAAAAATGAACATTGATAAGAAGGAGAACTAAATTTAATACAATTTAAAGAAAATTAAAAATGATATATTTTAAAACACAGAAAAGAAAAGCCAGAGAAAAGGGGTTGTGATCCCTGTTTCAATTACAACATAGCTGTATGGCAATAATTAAATTTTATCGTTTCATTATTATTTATTTTTTTAAATATTTGTATGTTTTTACATTATTTCTACCATCAAGGATGGGTTAGAAAATCAACTTTTTATTTGTCATAACATTGTTCATGATTTTTTAATTTAATTGTCTTACACTTAAAAATGGTAACATACTCCCATACTCCATATTTTATTTCATATATTATTTACTCCTGTTAATTTATTTTCCAATCCTTCGTGCAATTTTTTATTTCAAATGGTTTAAAAGTTAAAGATTTCAAATAGTTCGCAATTTATTGGGTATAAACATTTTAATAAACTGCAGTATCCTGCAGCTTATACAACAACATAATTGTATACTAAATTAAATTCGTATCCTTTTAAAAATTAATTTACCCGATAGTGACCACTCTCAATTGACCTTTGATCACTATTTTGCAGACTGCAATTATTATTAGACAGCATTTGAATACAATATACACGTTTATTTCATTACATTTTTGGTTTTTAAAATGCATTTAGTTTAATCTGCACTTTTTTCACGCGCGCAGTAAATTGTAATGACCTTAATGTTTTTTAATTTTTTATAATACATGCTTTAGATAGTGATCGCCGAGTGCTGACTATTACTAATATTGTATTGATAATGTTTTTTTTTTTTTGTATTTAACATTTTTAGTTTGTAACTATAAGTTGGCTGTTGTTATCCCTAAGGCCCTAACTTCTTCCACTACAAAATTGTCTACCACTCAAGTCGATACAATTGTTTTGTCTTTTAAAATGTATTTGTCTGAGGGTGCTATCAGATCCACTCACATATTTTTATTTTATAAAATATTTAAGTTCTTTCATTTTTATACTTTTTGCCTTCAACCCCCAACTGGCCATAGTACGATATATGATCGCATTTTTTTTAAATTTTCGTTTGTGTATCGATTTGTTATTGAAAATAGACTGGTCTCTGTTTTTTCAACAATATAGTTTTAAAATATATTTATTTATTTTAGTTTCTAGAAGTAATTTATCTGCGGGACTCCCGGACCCCTCTCATTTTTTCTGATAAAGTATGAGTTCTTTAATTGTTGATGCATATTTTATACTTTTTCCTTCGACTACCGAACCGACTATTTATCCTACTTATCATATTTTATTTATTTTTTCGTTTGTATATTATTATTTTTGGTCTGTTATTTAAAATAGACTGAAGTTTCTGTTTCCACTCTCATTTACTTGTGAGAGCATTAGTAGTGGATGACAGATGGAAATGAAATTTATTGTGTAAAGGTCCGTATCGGTAAATTGATAATTAGTGCTTTAAAATTTTTCATTTTTATGTTTTGGAATCAAAGAACAATGAACATAATATTATGATACATCATTAAATCGTACAGCTTTACAAATAAAGCAAAATATGTTATTCTTGCAGTTAACATGGTGTGGGTGGCTTTCTGTGAATCATGTTTTGTTTTGAGTTAAGACTTCAAACTCAAGATACAACAAAATATTTATTTTTTCTTATTTAATTGATTCAATTTCATTATTATTATACTATCATATTTATCATCATGTAAAGTTACATTATACTGTCGTACTTGCAGCTGTTATTATTTTTATGGACATAATTTGTTTTGTATTTTCGTTTTATTCAATTACGTTCTCGTTCTTATACGCCCTCGTATATTTCAAAATGTCGAAATTTCATTTTATAAATACAATCTGCAACGATGATATTATTTTAAGCTGGTGCATCAACATTAAAAGAAAAACGGTTAATAAAATTGAAACTCTCTATTTCTGCTTCAGTTTTATTAAAAAATATAAAATAATTATTACGAAATAGAATTCGTTATGCAAATGTTCTATTATTTCGCATAGTTTACATTTTATCACATAAGGTAAATATTTATTTGCATACACGAAAGTATTTTTAATTAAATGCATATTTTAAGTCCAATGCAATACTGAACAATAATTGCATATTATAAGACTAATAATGAACAATTTAATAACTGCACTGAATTTTTTCTTGAAAACCACCAGAAAATGATTCATATGACTTTGTTAAATTATTAAATGTTTGTTTATCATTCAATTAATATGGTATTTACAAAATATTAACAAATTATCGTCTAAGAAATACAAATTTCTTTTTCATTTTAGTTTCAGTCTGTCTATATAAAGGCAAAAAAATTTTAATGAACGAATAAATAAACACCCAATGGTGTTATTAAAAAAATATTATTAAAAATTAAAGGTTATCAAAGTCGTTTGGATTAAGTTGTAAAAACTATCAAAACAACACGTTCTGTCTTTAAGAAAATTATCGTAGGAGAACATTTGAGTAAAATAAAATTCTTAAAACGAAGTGATAAAACAGCAAGAATCGAACTCTTATAAACATAAAATACATTATGATACTTCAACCATTCAATCTCAGTCTTTCTAAATCAATATCGTTTTATCGATTCTGGCCAGCTAGCTTGGGAATTATTAAATAACCAAAAACATGAAACGTTATATTATATCTAACATAATATAACTTAATTTATACATCACTGTATAATTATTAGGTATAGTGAATGATGAAATTTCAAATCATAAGTTATATTGGTACCTAATTAAAATACAAATTCTCAAACATAGTAATTTTTTTTTTTTCAAATCATACTTGCTAGTCATTAAGTACGATAAATTAATCAACCGTTTTATCATATTATGATGATAAATGTGTCGATCAATATTAAAAACATTTTTTTACAATGTAACGTTTTCAGACGTTGAACAAAGCATTATATGTAGTTCACTCGTAGCTTGTTAATATCTCTGATACCAGTAGCACATATTTACAAGCAGATTATTTTATTTAAGAACCATCAATATATATTTGGAAAAGGTTAAAGGTTAGGTAAACTCGTTTTTCGATAAAATAATCACTTCGTGAATATCTTACACCTTATCCTAACCTTACACGTCGGATGATAGATAAGGTTTTCCCACAGACGATTTCATAATTATTTAGTCGGCATAATATTATGTCTAAGAAATTATCTATCTTAATTATGCTATACCATGTTTTATACGTACATGGTACATGCTCATAAAACCTGTTGGTTCAGTTTTCATAGTTTTTATTAAATCATCGTACAGTTTTTATTAAATTCCATTAACATTATTATGAAAATCCATAAATTAAACGTCAATCGACAAATATTACACGAATAGTTTTATTTTGCATGATGTGTTTAGTAAATAATCATGATGTATAATTTTTTAAGTACCTAGGTCTAAATTGAATAAATTAATTTGAGTACACGAATGGCACGAGTTATTCACGAGTTAATCGACGACTTGTAGTAAGTAGTGTCGTAAGTTGAATACGATTTTTCTTCCAATGTATCATTATAACAGTCGTATCTGTAGTCATCGTCGTCGGCCGATGAACATTCTTTAGCGGTGTTGTGTGCGTTATACGGCCAAGTCTGAAATAAAAAATGTGTAATAAATATTTTAAGTACCGGAAAAGACGATAATCGCATTTCACAGTTGTCGCAGTCGGTTATTATGAATACAAAACAAAATACCTAATGATTATTTATTTGTAGATGAAGTATTAACGAGGATTGTCAAATTCCTAAAGAAAGAATAGCCATTTATGCTAAAAGAAATTTGTACCGCCACATGATACTCCTTAATTAGTAACAATAATTTAGAGAATTTGAAAATAATTTGGTCTTTAAGTATATTTAAAAATTCCAAAATTCTGCTAGTGAATAAATGAATTATTAAAGGGAAAAATGGGGACGAGCCTACTTGGTGAATCAACATAGTACATCGAACAAAAAATAGTATTATGCATTCGCCTTATATTTGGCTATTCGGTGGAATCAAGAAAAACGTTGAGCTTCTAAATTTAAAAGTTATACTACTTGAACTATGCGTAAAGATCTTTTTACAAAAATATATTAATAAGTACAAATATTTTACAAAACTATAAATAGTTAAGAGCCCACAGTCAATTTTCTTAGGTAAGTTAAATTAACTTGATATACCTAACTTTTCAATTATAAGTTGAAAAAAAGGTACACAAATTATAAAATACTTACATAAGTACAATTATAATGCATAATTAATATTTATATTGACATTAATAAAATATATAACACTAATAAAATGGCTTTAAACAGTTTAATTAATTTCCTTAAATACAATTATTCCTTTTCTAATTTGTTTATTAATTTTCATATTATACACAAATAAAGCAATTAAACCAATATGACTTATGAGCATATTTATTTCATATTTTCATTACAAAAACTTCCTACGACTATATTATCCCTGATACTCTGGCATTGCGGTATCTCCGTAATAAAACCGATATGGAAAATGTCCACTGGGAATGTCCGTATCGTGCTAGAGATAATACCATTAGAATAACTAAAACCTCGATTTTAAATCGAATTTTTTTTTTATTTTTAAGATAACAATAGTAGGCTATAGGTAGTAAAATCTTTGAACGAATATGGATAAATAGTTTTTAAATTTCGAAGTAAAACATTTATGCTTTTAAACTATACAATGGTTTTAAAACGTTTTAAATAACTATCAGAGGAAAAATGTTCTTTTTTTAAAATACGGGGCTATTCAATTAAGGTCGGCACAAAATTATCAATGGGTATAGGGTATTTGAAAAATAAAACGTGCCTACAGCGTAGTTTCATCGACAGACATTATATTATTCTAGCGATCGTTTCTGAATATTATTGTGATAAACACGTTTCACATGTACTGCGGACGAGACCCGACCTACCCTTAATGCTTTGTGCGCATATCAATGCCCATTATTAGCTGCAGCAACAGACGGACACACACCATTAAAAGGGAACGACGGGTGGACAACCATTATTATAACCTTGGACTCTGTACACACCGAAGTCACAATGTGCTGCATGTGGTACTACCATAATATGGATAATATAAGATTAGATCCACTCCTATATATATTATATCGACAAAATAAGGGATCGTTGTCTGGAATGTGCGCATTATGTGACACAGAAACATTCTTATATTATACTCTATCGATACAACACAGCATTGCAATGTATCGATGGCGCCGAACCCGTGTATCAAGGGAAGTGCGACTACCCCCCCCCACCCTTTATGCTAGGTGAGGGAGCGTGTGGTAAACTAATCTGAGTATGGGGATTTGGGAATAATATTGTACATCAGTATATCTATAAATTAGCTGTATGCTGCCATTTCAAATTACAACACCAAATATAGCTATTCCTATTATTTTAAATTATATTTACCCGAGTATAGTGTATAAATAACAGGTCAACTGCCACGAGACCCTTTTGTGGGTCACACGAAGTTCGTCAAAACGTTTATCAGTTTGATTTTGCTAATCATAATAATATCATACAAATACTAAAATGTATAAGTATTATATTTTGATTGTGAACAAAATATTTCTGGTGCAGACGTGAAGATTTAAACAAGTATTATCGAGTCAGTCACTCAGTGGAATGTTGAATATTGTTAGGAAGACAGGCAACAGTGAAAGAACACAGTCCATATGCATAGCATATGTATGTTTGGTGAATACGCTGTGCAATTCGACTGAGTTTAATTATATAGATGCAGTAAGTAGTTGCACAGAAACATGTTTCATATTGTGCAATGCAGTAGGTTGAATTACTTTTTTCAAGTATTTGATTGAGAATAAAATTATTTATTGACAATAATTGAAAAACAAGTTTAAAAAATCAAAAATGCCTCAGGACTATACAGATAGCTCCAAAAGAGCTAAAATATTTTGTCGATTGTAGCATGTATGGTGAATGATATAACAAACATTTTGTGAATATTTCAAATAGCTACGGTAATTTGTTTTTCAATTTAAAAAAAAATAACAAAATAATTTATTAATAATATCCAATGCCCCAAAAAATTCAACCAAAAATGCTCATAAAAAATAATTTGACTTTTCAGTAAACTTGTTTTAATAAAAGTAAAATAAGTTATGAGCAATCTTGTCCTAAATTTTAAAATCTTAGAAATAATTACAAACAATTTTGTGAATTTCTGACAAATAGTTTGCAAATTTAATTGATTTTGACAGTTTATAGAATTACGAACGACTTTATTTTTATTTTTACTAACAACAGCTTATAAGGAACCTTGGATTAAATTTTCAAAATTAATGGGCGAAAATGAATCTCCAATAATTAAAAAAAATTAATACAAATCTAAAATGTCTTATTCCTATAAATAGCTCAAAATGAGTAAAAATATTTTGATAGCGTATAGTGAATAAAACAAAAAATAATATAAATGTTTGGTGAAAAGTTATAACTATGTTTTTTAGAGTTATACCTACCAAAAATCAAATTCAATTTTGTCAAAAACTGGTTTGTATAAAAATCTGGGATTTTCCTGACGCTTTTAAAAAGTCCTAGAATTTTCAATGTTGAACTCCTGAATGCGAATTGCTATCAGAAAATGAGATATTGCAGTCAAAAATTGAAGAGATATTTCGATTACTTGTCGTGTACACAAAAAATAAACAATTGAATTAATTAACTATTTTTATAATAAATTTAATATTTGTATTATATACGTGGGTTATATGTGTATACATAACACCTTTCCTATATTGCATTTTAATATATTTTTTTAATATTATACTTTTACATATATTCTTTTAAACAAAAAAACAATGCTCAACCAGTGTTGCATGCTTATGCACTTTATACATATTTTTATGCCTACTTATACCTTATACTTAATAAATAATATTGTAAAGAGACGTTATAATATACAAATATACTAATGGGTATCGGCGGCGGCGAAGCGACACACGATATCTCCAAGGGTGGCCAACATGAATATGTTTGGATAAATACAATTATATCCACAGCCAAAATGTTTCAATCATTAAATTGTGTACTCAACTTAAATTTATAGTTGCCGTCTTCAAAGAACAATTTCGAGACTTCAAGGTTTTTTTAGTAAATGTCATTGACAACAAGTGTCTGATATCACATCATATTTAAAAAAATTAATCAGATCTCGAAATAACTAAAATCTCAAAGAGTTCTTATTAAAACATTTAGGTGCTTTTACAATTTCAATTTTTTTTTTTCTTATACTCTTATTTATTTATATTTTATCGATTATTGTTTGTTCATTTATCAATAAAAACTTTTTTTTATAAATGTATACCAAAAAAATGTGCAGTAATGATAATAAGTCAATTTTTTGGTATTTGTAAATAAGGCGCGAGCTGCTCCGCGTTGGCTTACCTGCCTTAAATTACATAATATAGGTACCTATTGTGGCGTGCGACCGACGCCTTTTAGCTGACGCAATTACGGCGCACCGTGGAATGTGTTCGAGTGACTTTAACGACCCATTTACATTTATTGTTGAGATAGTATGTGGCCAGACGTGGTGCATCGGATTAGTATAGTTGTCACTTTTCGGTCTTCACGCTGTCATTTAGTAAAATACAATTTACGTTCTCAAGTGAAGTACCCCCTTCCCCTTAGTATTTTTACACTATGGGTAAATAAGTAAAAATATGAGCCTTCACATTTTTGTTTTTAAATTAGAGTCAGCAAAATCATATTATCCAATCAACTTAAAATTGATTTTATTTTTAATTTCGTAACAATTAAAAGTTATAGGCATTTGTCAAACAATTTAAAATTTAAAAATATTAATCATGATTCCTTTGAACAATTAATAATTAACAAAGTTTTATTAAAAAACTCACTGTACAAATTTTCTTTAATATTCTGATTGAATCGACTGTGAAATGTGCCATATGAAATGATAAATCAACTATTTTATAACATAGATGCATCTGTTTAAGCGATAAGAAATAATAATTATGCGATAAGTGTGATGACGCGAGCAAGGGAAATATGAATTAATTTAATATGATATAGATAAATTGTTGAATTTTACTTCTTGGAACAATTCTTATCTACACGCCGATCATACACATAAATTGACTGACAAAAAGGTCAGGTTGCAGGTAAATAGAAACCCGAGGGTCACTGCCATACCATACAATATGTTTACAGGCTTACAATCTACACGTTTATTTTCATTTATAACTTATTTTCAGCTCAACTTTCTTAATTTTATATTCCATAAGAACATTATCTTGACAATAACAAATACAAAAAAAAAATAATTAGCGAAATCGGTCCAGCCGCGATGCTCTTACCAAGGGAAATAGGGATTAAAATAGAGAAAAATATTTGGGGTGGGCCACCCTTAATACCTACTGGTTTAAAAAATAGTCCATGATCTATTCTTAAACCTACGAAATACACACAAAGAATTTCATGAACATCGGTCCACCTTCTGAGAAGTTTAATAACGAACACTGTGACCGGAGAATTGTATATTCATAAGATAATTGTTTAGATATACAGCCTATAACTTTTTGACTGTATTATTATTACCACACCAGCAAAACGTGTAATTTTTAAACTAAAAACTAAGCAAACACTAATCCTAAGTGTTAAGTCTTAAAGATTAAATAATGTCTGGGGAGGAGTAGGACATGTTACATTACACAAGCGAGTACTCGATGCACACATACAAAGAAGAATGTTATCTATATAATAAATTCTGAATAAAAACTAAATTTTTTTTAATATACAGTGATCGCTGCTTATTTTAATCACGGTTAATGTTATCAAACGTTTATTGTTATCGAAAAGTATAAGTACGGGCCGGATGTATACTTATATGTGTAAATTATGTCGGCTATTGTAATCATTATCAGTTTTAGGTCATAGAATCATCATTTTGTAACATACAATGTTTACAAAGTTTTCTCCAAATGTCTCACAATAAAGACATAAATGTCTATACAGTGTATAGAATGATATCACATTTATATCATTTATATCTACCTTTCGTTCGTACAGCATAAAGACAGTCGCTGCCCGTCGACCAGTATCGCTTTTGTATGCATCCGTACATATTAAACATATTTATTATTTATTTATATTTTATTTAATTTTTTTAAATTTTAAATTTTAAATTTTTCGTTTAGTGTTATCAATCGGATTATGTTATCAGTTATGTCCCGTACCAAAGTGATTACATGAAGCGGCGACCACTGTAATAAAATAATCATTGATACATGACATTTTAACAAAATATTTATAAAAGCATTTAACACTTTATAATTTTAAAAATATATTGACTTTTTTAATTATGTATAGGCATAAGAAAATGTTGAATTAATTAGTTTCTTTTAAATGATGTGAAAGTAAGATAAATTGTTAATATTTTTGTCTTTGCATGAGCAACTCGTAAAATATAAATAGTATATTATTATAGGTAGCTTAATAAAGTTAAAAATTAAACAATAATATAAATTAAAATTAAATGTATAGTCAATATTATATAATGTACCTAATCTCTATATATACAAAGGAAAATTACTTTAGCAATAATCAACGCAGAGCCAAACCTATTTGAGTTATAGACTTGAAATTTCGAGGATGGATTAATATTATAATGTCAAGTTCCACTAAGAAAAGATTTTTCAAAATTTTGATTTTAAATAGTTGAAATCGCAAAAATAAACTGTTTAAGTACACATTATATATATATCTCCAAATTTTACAGCACGGCGATCTATGGGTTTCTGTAGCGACATGCAACCATAACTTTTTGTCCGTCTAACTATATGTTTGATCGGTGTGCAGATTTGAATTGTTTTAGGTAAAATTTTACAACCTATCTATATCTATCTATGTATATAACAATAAATCCCTACTTCCCATAGTCGAGGCATTACGCTTATCGCTTATCGTTTACAACAGATCCATCTATCTTCTATCAATGACATAAAACAGTTAATTTATAATTTTTTAGAGCTCATTTCACAGTGGAATCAATCGGAAGATTAATGAACATTTTACATTATTTTGATAAGTGTTTGTTCATCATAGTTAGTTGAAGCAATCACGCTTAAAATGTTAAACAAACTTAAATCACCTTCGGGCCATCACCATGCCATACAATATGTGTATAGGTATACAATTTGCATGTTTATTTTAATTAATAACTTATTTTCCGCGCAACTTTCTTAATTTTTTAGTAGAACTTGGTATTTTTTTTAAATTTTTAGTTGCCGTTGGTTAATCCGGCAGATCATGTTTAAAAAGGCTTCAAATCGAATTTTAGTACATAGCCTACCAAGTTCACTGTTGGCTGAGTTACACTTATTGCCGTTCATCGGCATGTACACAGTCAAAAAATCAATTAAATTTAAATGAAACATATCGTATTATTCATATAGAGTGTGAACCTAGCGGGGTGCGCAATCCACCACAGATAGATAGCCTACCTGATAATATGCTACATACATTATAACAAGGGAGTCTCATATAGAATTGGCATTGTTAAAGGGCAACGAAGTGCAAGGGATCAGCTAGAAAAGATATAATATTGATGTAATAGATCTTTGTTTCGACACGACATTACGACAGTTAATTTGTCTACTGACGATCGTAAGTAGTAACAGCTGCAACCGCTATAATTATGACGTATAGGAATACTTGCTGAAATATTATAAACTACAAACTAACATAACAAATTTATTATCTAAGTTAAGAGTTGTATGGAAAACACTGAATAGCTGAATTATATAAATTGCGTTGTAAAAAAATAATGATACTTTTCTTATCGATAAACGAGTTTAACTATACAAATTATAATTATAGCCATAGAATCATTTTTTAATAACAACATGTATATAGAGTCATTAGAACTATTTGTAAATATTATTTTTATTTTTTGAAATGATTTTTCAAAATTAGACCTCTAAGGGGTAAAGGGGTTTTTTTATATAGCTATATAGTACACGGATAACGCCGTGACGGGACAGCTAGTATTTTATAGGTTATAGTTTTTGAGCAAAGTAAGAAAAAAATGTTTTGATTTTGAGTCAGCAAATTGATAGATCCTAGTTCCTCCCATGAATTGTATTTCGGGACAACACGGTGTTACTCCCCTCCTCCCATTGAAAATAGAACTGTGAAATTTCCGATTATTTTTGTAATATAATATAGTTTTATAACATGTATAGAGTATAATATTATTATTATTGTTGTAATAATAATTATTTAACACTGTGCTATGTTATCTAAGATATGTGTGTTACATTGAACAATTTTTTCTTCGAGACTATGCATATTAGAATTAAATATTATAAGTAACTGTTGAGTTAAACACAGTACCGTAAATTACAATTATACGCTTCATTTCTCGACAATAAATAAAATATATGACAGGAAGTCTTTCAAATTAAATATATGCCTATTTTAATACTTTAAATATTGTTTTAATGGTTTAGTAATGAATTAGTTCAATATAATATATAACTCGATATTAAAGGTTGGAATTCACTTAAAATTGTATATTGAAATAATAAAACAACAATATTGATGTTCTTAGAAATATTTTAGAAATACTATTGTACCTAAATTGAGTTAGGTCCTTAGTGTAGGTTCTAACCCCCATTAACAGCTGACGGGCGGATGCGCATTGTATCGACTTAAGGTTTGGGACAATCGGGTCTTCCTTCAAACTACATGTATATGTACACTGAAGATACACAGTGCTAAATAAAACCCAGCAATACAATATAATGCGTATAGAAATAATTGTGTACCATTATAAGTCGGGTCCGATAAACTAATATATAATATAATGTGGCACATGATAATCGCACATTAACAGTCGACCGGCGGTGGGTGGTCGGGTTTTTTTTTTAACTACCTAGAAATCGGTATTTTATAAAATGTCCGCCTATTGTGGCGATAGATTCTGGTGGGGCGTCGAATCGGTCGTGGCCGGCCAAAGGTCTTCGTTCGGGACGGTGTTCAGTCGAAAACGATTAGTGTGCGTAGTCAGTTACTCTATGCGTCGTGTGCTTGGTCGACGTGTGCTCCCATAGCCTAATAAACGTTACACACCTTATTTGCAGGCTGAGATCATGGAGTGGCAGACAAGGAAGTCATTTAACGACATGTGGAAGATTATTTTTGCCACTAAGCGACGTGGTAACAAGAAGAGTTTAAGCCGTGGTGAATATCAGGACCGGATTGCAATAGTTCGGCAACTGAAAGAGCATCTGAAAACAGGCAGAGGGACCGTATCGGCGAGGAATCTGCGATTACTTCACAAGTTTAACGTTATAATGAAGGGTGGTAGCGAATGGTTGGTAAAGCCATCGCCGTTGGTAGACTCGGACAAACTCCGCTTGTACGTGTCTAATGATGAACTGTTCGACGTGCTGCACGAGGCGCATCTGGAGACCAATCACGGTACTGAGGATCAAATGATTCACAGAATTCGATTGCGGTACTGCAACGTGACGAGGGAGGCGGTGTCCACTTACCTGGCACAGTGTCCGTACTGCCGCAACCCGAGAGGGGAGGACGCGGTGAGAGCGATATCTCCGAAGGCACCGATGGTGGTGGTGCCAATGCCGGTACAGGTATCGCCGGTATCGGCGGTACAGATGTGTCCGTCATCTCAGTTTTCTGAATATGGTTCATCGGTCTACTTCGGATTCATCGACATGCGTCCATGGACCCGTGATGGCTACTCATATATCATGGTCCACTGGGACATCAAGAGCAAATTTATGCACATAATGCCGCTCCAGAGCGTACACCATGTGAACGTGGCGGTCAGTTTGATGGATATTTATGCGACGTTTGGCATGCCACATTTTATCGACGCACCATACTGTGTGCAATATATCAAAGCGATAATCAATCACATAAAAGTAGTATGGAGGAATGAGGTGTTCATCAAACACAGGGCTTCAGATGATGTGAACGATATAACCAGTGGCTGGCATAATGTACAGGACTTATTGAAGCCATGGTTGACAAGAGAAAAAGTTAAGCGCAACTGGCCGTCGGAAGTCAAGTACATTCAATTTGCGATTAACAATCAGACATTTTCAGGTAACATTTATTAGCCACAATTTTGTACTTACAGGAACAATAGGAAGGGAAATTTAGGAATTCTTTTCAATTACAAATGTATGTATGAAAATGTATTGCCGGTTCCTTCGCATAAATTGTTCTTATAGCAATTTAAAAATATCAAAAATACATAGGCATAATCTTTTTATAGACATTCGAAATTCAATTATTGACGAAATTGAATATTTAAACGAACAGTTGAATTTCTTCTTTGAATGGTTTTATAATCAGTTTGTTGTAATTTTAAAAAATAACTATTTATTAAAAATCGTTTGAAATCCTTTCCATTACATATATTTTCATTTAGGTACTATTATATACAAAGAAATGTTCAAAATATTTAGGCTGATTTAAAGTTTTTTTTCCATAGAACATAGGTACCAATTCACCATAAATTAACTAAAAATGTAATAATTGCAATAATAGGTAAATGATAATAATAATTTATGATATAAATATTATAGGTGCTATGTACTATAATATTATAAAATATAAAAAAATAATACATTATTATTTATTACATTTATAATAATTAGGGTTGGGAATTTTATCGAGCAATTATTGTAATAGTCAAATAATTTTAAAAGTATTTTGAAAATAACCGAAAAAAATCTTATAATACGGGAAAATAATCAATGTAATTATTACAAATAATTAATTTTTTATCAACCAATTCCAAATGGGCACAAAAATAATTGTTGACTTATCAATAAAATAAACAGTTGACATTTTTTTCCATGTTGTTGTTTTTATCTTTATTTTTTTTATTTAGTATTTTATAACTATTTACGACTGCTTCATAGACGATAAATTAAAATTATTAAACTGGTTATTGTATTAATCGTCAAAAATCGATTATTCCTCAACATTCGGTAATCACTAATCGACTTACACATTTCTCAATCGTCTAGCCTTAATAATAATAACAATTTTGAAGGATTGTGTTACCACCAAAATTAATGTCTTAAAGAAATATAAATATATACAAGTAAGGTAGAAACCCACTGAAACCGAATATCTAAGATCCGAATCTATTTAGCTTGTCATTATGAGCTGTAATTCCAACAGGCAGGTGAATATAATATTACAAAATAATAGTTTATTAAACAAATTTTACGTTTACCTAAAAATGAATTTGTTATCAGGTAGTTTTAATGATATTACATTATTATTACCAATTGTGAAAAAGTCGATTCTTATTTTATTTTATTTATTTGTTCGCCCCATGTTTCGGCTAACAATCTAATCGGTTAATAGATGATGTCGACATTTATGAATTCGGAATAAAAGTCGTTGGCTAATTTATTCAACTTGTCCCATTGACCGTCACCCATAATAAGATATTATCTTTAGAAATAATATACACACTAAAGGCCCGTATCTGTTCAGAATTTCATTTTTCATGTAACGATCTATTGTCGAAATCAAATATTTAACACATCCATTACCACCCAATGACGTGGTACACTCGACACCTGCTATACAGCAGAGCGTATTCCCGGGGTGGTTTTTGTTTCTTTTGAACACTGACATATTTGCAATTTGCATACTTCAAGTGTCCCATACTATATAGTACGTTCCACTGTATCAAACCCTGCAGGCGCCACTACTAATTATCTGAATAGGTTTACCAATTATTCTGCTAACGTGTTTATTTGTTTTTTTACAGGATGCTCCTCGTCACTTTATACCAGACTGCCTTCGGATATCAATCCGTCGGTGTGATTGATCGTTTGATGTAAATTCCATCAGAAAAGGCGGCAGCAGCGGACGAGGGCCACTGGAATGATTGCACTACGGCGACGTTCTCGTTCTCCTGTTAAAAGTACAACTGCTGGCCGACACATCTTCCACATAAATTGTGTTCACTTTTTTTAATATTTCACTAGATTATACACTGTCTTCAACAAACCGGTAATTTTATTAGCATCATAGTATATCCCTTTAACACGTTTAATGTACACATATAAAAGATACAACATAGTATATATAGGTACATGTAATATGCTACTGTGATTGACAGTTTGAAGTTTAAATTCTCCCAGATTTATTTGCGGCTTTAAAAGCAATTAACAATCTGGTACATAATGGTTAGGTTACTCGTGTGACGCTTAAGTTATAATTAACTAGTATACTTATTACAATGTCGGTATATCCTTGTATTCAGGCAAAATGGCTCAGAACAAATAAGTTTTTTTACTGTTATTGAGATTAAAGTTTATTATAATATGTATATGATAAATAGATCTTTAAACTTAAATCTTAAAAAAAATCCATAGCATTAAAATATAAATACAATTCATTATTAATAGTATTGTTGTTAAATCATATCTAAAATTGTTATCTATAATAATAAAAAAATAGTATAATATAATAATATAATCATGTAAAATTTAAGTATTAAAATTAAATTTTCTTTTGGAAAAAAATTTTGCTTTACCAAATTTTATATTTATATATTCGCGTTTGTATAAATTAAATATTATGCATTGTAATATAAAAAAAAATATATGCCTAATGGCATATTTTTATACCTTTTATTATGTTTATTATGTTAAAGGGATTGCAAACTGCCAATTATTTCAACAAAAATGTATGTAATGATTATTTTTCATTGTGTTTAATTATTTCAATATATATTAAATTAAACTATGTTTTTTAAACTTTCTTAAATATGAATATAAAAGGATATAATTTATTATTTTGTCTGATTATTTTTTATTCAACGGTTGGTAATTTAAAGACCATTTTGTGCATTGTTTAACTCTCAATTTTTTTTGTTGCATTGCGTTTAATTTTAAAAAGTAAGTTTTTGATACATTGAATATGAATAAAGTAACATTAAATAATAAACTGTTTAAAACTGTAAATCATATTCTCGTTAACAATTAATGAAATATACAAGGGACTAATTCAAATCAATGCAAATATAATATTTTGACACTTTAATATTGTTTTTATGCTTTAAAAAAACGAATTAATTTAATGTGATTGGATATTAGAAGTTCAAGCGCATTTAAAATTGTAATACTTTTTAAAATCTAACGAATGTGTTTTATAAATTGTTATTATTTATTTTTAGTAGAAAAAAAATGATTACAATCCATACATACACTTATACAAATTATTAAGTAAAATTTCTATTGCAAACAATACGTTTTTTTAATTGTTTAATAGACATGTCAGTAGGTGCATACAATCGCTGGAACAGTTGTTTCACGACAATTTTACATTAATATTACTATTTTAGTCTTTTGGTTTTTTGTTACTGTAATAAAACAAAATTATATTTTATGGATCGCAATTTCAACCGACAATTCTAATATAATACCCACATTCTACGTTTATAATATGTATATTCATTACTATTAAGTTACACTAACACAAAACCAGGTTTATTATTCGAAAACAAATGAACGAGTGCTCGGGTTTTAAGCAGAGAAGAAAAAATGAGAGAGAAATATGGATTTCGTGTAGAATCTCGCGAAGGATAAAATTATGAAAAGCCTTAGCCCGTAGGAAAAAGAGTTTTTGCTTAAAGGTAAATAATAAACAGAAACGAAAAAATGTCTGGCGCGCATATGTACATTGCTTCTTATATAAGTAGGTATAAGGTAGGTAGGTTCACTATATAATATCCAGTCACACGTGGCCGAAAAAGCCAGGTACAATACAATTGGTAGGTAGGTAGGTAGGTAGGTAGGTAGGTAGGTAGGTAAGTGGTTAGTTTGTGGGTAGGGTAGAGTCATATTATTATTATTATTATTATTATTATTATAAGCACTCCGATCAAGCGTTAACGGTACACGTACTGCGCAGAATACAATATTATACTTGTGCAGTATACAGAGTGTAACATAAGAATTTAACGAAAAAAATGATGCCAGTATGAAGGTTGGGATAAAAGTTCAACCACAGATCGGGACATTTACGAAAATAATATCAACAACCTTTTTTCAATTATTCTCAATTATAAAATTTAGAACACAATGTAATATATGTGTGTATAGAATAAAATAGCATGACATTTTTAAATACTTATTTTACAGCGTCGTTCGAATTTTAAGTTTAAACATATATTATTGTTACAGGAATTAAATGAATGATACATTTGATTAATTAACTGAGATATATTTTTCTGACTTTTCCACCTATTTCAATAGCTCTGGCCTTCCCATGACATACGTATGCAATTTCAAACAAGTAATTTTGAAATTAAATTTGCTTTGAATGATACTTTCTGCAGTTTCAACTTGGAGACGGTTACGTTATTTTGTCCACTGGGTCATTATCAGTGAAAATATCTTCTCAATATTAGAGTTATGACCAGGGATAGCATATAAGTATTGGCCCATCAAAATTAAATTAAGTTTTCTTTCAAATATATCAGTTTTTTGAAAGAAATTTAACCATTTGTCATGAATATATTTTGCATATTTCCTTCAATTTCCTGTTTGTAATTTTTAAGGTACAATATGTCTTCAAAACAACCATACGTGATATCAATACTCTTTTCTAGATAGTTAAACGTGTGACAATAATGAAAATAGTATGGATAATAAATAATTTAAGAAATATAGGAACTTATGTCAAATAATTCGCAGAAATGATATTTTGAAAAAAGTTATTATAAGTTTTAAATTAATTTACTAGAAAAAAAATATTGCTATTTTAAAAATTCTATAAAGTAAACTACTTGACTTGCATACATGTTTTTAACGCAAAAATTCTTCTTATAACCCGATTAGCAAATTGGCAATTTTTGAATTGCCCAAAAAAATTTGAATCAAATTTATAATATAACGCAAGTCCCTATAAATTATGTATAACAAAACAATAAATATTGGTTATAACAAAAATTAATGGTGTAATCAGTTCATTCTGTTACGCCATGTATAAAAGTCATACGGATAAACGGGAAGATTTTACCAGCATTATCATACCTGTAAAATTATACGAAAACTTTTTTTTAATATATATATATTGATATAGCTTGAACAAAATTCAAACGAGTAGTTTCTAAATTATGAAAATGTCCATAGTATACTATACTAAAGATAATGGACAATTGTTTGACAAAAATATTAAATATTTGTAACATTTAATGTCTGGTAAATACAGAGTCCGGTTTTTGTTTTGTTTCTCTTTTTAAAAACAATTCAGATTGTCCCACCTGTGTCTGAAAAATTTGAATTTATGTTTGGTTTTGTTATCTTGTCCTTCGTGGACCGACATAACATGGTCATTTTAAACTCAGACAAATTTTACAATTTTAACAATTTATTAAATATTAATTAAAACAATTTATGTTGATTTTTAAATAGCTGTACATAACTCAATAATAATTAAATGTTGACCATTTAGTGAAATTCATGGTGAACCGTTTCATCAAGGTTGATCATGATGTAGAATATAAAAAACAATTGGCCTTTCGGTAGAGTATGAATATAAAACAGAAATAGACGAATACTTAAAGTATGTATGCTTAGATTGCCATTTCTTGATACACAGTCAGTCGGTGATTGATTTTCATTTAAACAAGTTGAGATATAAAACCAATACGTAATTTGTTAGTTGAAAATTATATTAACAATAGTTACCTACATATTCTCAATAACAAAAACAAAAGACCATAGTGTTTGTCTTACAATTAGTTTGATGTTTATGTAATTCGTGTAAATCTTTTCACTTAAAATTGAATTCCCAGTTTTATTCCACGCATCTAAATATTTACAATTTCAAAGATGTGTATTGTTTTTTCACCTAATACTTAAATTATAATAAGTAGCTCTTATATAAAAATAAATTATAGAAACATTATTCAAGACAAACTACAACTTATAGATAAACAAATTTTGAAATAGTTATATCCACAATATCAAATATACAATGTATATATAAGTATTAGCTTAAAAATGTAAGTCTACTAAATAATTTGGCTGAGGGCTCGATAAAATTTGATTTTAAATAATTGTTTTGTTTTTTTTTATTTTAGTGAATCATTATTATTCGTTTATAACTTATTAATATGCAGTTATGCAGTATAATAAATGTTATACTTAAATATGGGTAAATTAGGTACTTGTAATAGAATAATGATAATATAGATTTTAATATTATATTATATATTGAATCATTTTTATACGAAGACAGAAATCATTTTTCAACCATTTTGGTAACCAATGTGTCTATGATATAAACATTGAGATACCCGGTTGTGAAAATTCAATGGGTATCGACTACCTGGGTTTGGGAGCCGATTCAATTGCTCACATAAAAAGAAGATATACCTACCAAACGCCACGAGATACTCCCGTAAATGGCTTACGACAATTTAAGTATTTGAAAATAAGGTTCTTAATAATAAATATAATATGTCTATACTCTATACTGACGCCAGTAAGAACAGCAATGTGCACGAAATAGACATCAAATATGTATGAGTAAAAAATAAAAATAAAATAGAAGAAGTATTTCTGTACACTACATAATAATTGTTTGCTTATGTTTTCTTTTTACTGAAAAATTAATTAATTTAAAATATAATGTATATAGATATATTATTATTTAATTATTTATTTAATTAAAATATATATTTAGTAAATCCATTATTCAAAACGTAAGCTAAAGTGCTGGAATTTAGACCTTATAGACTCATTATCAAAAATACGAAGGTTATTACGGACCCGAAGTATTCGGCCTTTTGACTAATTTAAACTTTATATTTAACATATAATATGTTATCGAATACCTCATAAAAGATGGCCTTGGACCCTGTGAAAAAGTGAGAAACATCCGTCCCATATTTAGCAGGTGTTATTTACAATTATTTGAGTTAATGCAAAAATCAGAATTTCATTAGAGTGGTAGGTAACATTATTGATTGACCAGAATTTCAATAAACGAGATATTAAAGTAAAAATGTAGTGGTGATCATATTGGATAATTCACCCTGTATATAGTTATGTTATATTTAACTGTTTTACAAAAGTATAACAATAAAATGATAAAATAAAGTGTGGTCGTGCGATTGGTACCCATCCGACAAAAAATGCAACGACGACGTAGACCATATCTTTGACACTGGGAATTATGATACACCGTAAGTGGTAGGGAAGTCTTTAATATTATACGTTAACTATAGTATTACGTAGACTTGTTTGATGTTTTATTTTTTATTTTGTTCATAATAACGAAGGTCCGGGGTACTAGGTAAAAAAAACAAACTAGATGTGAGTTGCAGACTTGCAGTCGTTCAGAAAAACACTGGAAA